GACTCCCAGAAGAACAGTACTGGCCTGACTGCATTGTCCCAAGTGTAAAGTTTGGTGGAGGGGGGATTATGGTGTTGGGTTGCTTTTCAGGGGCTGGGCTTGGCCCCTTAGTTCCAGTGAAGGGAACGCTTAAAGCATCAGCATAGCAAGACATTATAGACAATTTCATGCTCCCAACTTTGTGGGAACAGTTTGAGGATGGCCTCTTCCTATTCCAACATGACTGTGCACCAGTGCACAAAGCGAGGTCCATAAAGACATGGATGAGTGAGTTTGGGGTAGAGGAACTTGACTGGCCTGCACAGAATTCTAATCTCAACCTTTGGGATGAATTAGAGCAGAGACTGAGCCAGGCCTTCTCGTTCGACATCAATATAGCACACTCCCAAACCATCCCACTCAGGCATCAACAGCGAGGCTCTTACTTTCCATTCATCATACATCAGCATCAGAGGTTGGTCATCAGCTCTGAGGAAAGGGATTCGTCCCCGAAACGCGTCAGTCATTTTACCGCACTGACAGTGAGAACACCTTGCCTGCCGTAGTGGCCATTGTCATTTTTCTATGCTTTTTAGATACATGCTTCGGCTGTGAGTATGTTTTTATTATTTCACTCCTACAATAAACCTTGGATAATGCACTAGGTGTGTGCGCCACCTGTTTTCTCTGTATCGTTCAACATCAATGCCTGACGTCACAAATGCGCTTCTGAAAGAATGGTCAAACATTCCCATGGACAAACTCCTAAACCTTGCGGACAGCCTTCCCAGAAGAGTTGAGGCTGTTATACTCAATATTGAACACTATGGACTAAGACTGGAATGCCATTAAAGTTCATGTGCGTGTAAAGGCAGGCATTTCTTTGTGAGTGGGCAAACATTCAAAATCAGCAGGAGATCAAATACTTATTTTCTTCATTGTATATACACATACTAGAGTATGTGTATATACAGTGCCTTGAAAAAGTATTCATACCCCTTGAAATTTTCCACATTTTGTCATGTTACAACCAAAAAAACGTAAATGTATTTTATTGGGATTTTATGTGATAGACCAACACAAACTGCCACATAATTGTGCAGTGGAAGGAAAATGATAAATACTTTTCAAACTTTTTTACAAATAAATATTTTAAAAGTGTGGTGTGCATTTCTATTCAGCCCCTTTTACTCTGATACTCCTAACTAAAATCTAGTGGAACCAATTGCCTTCAGAACTCACCTAATTAGTAAAGTCCACCTGTGTGTAATTTAATCTCAGTATAAATACAGCTGTTCTGTGAAGCCCTAAGAGGTTTGTTAGAGAACATTAGTGAACAAACTGCATCATGAAGGCAAAGGTCGGGCAAAGGTCATTAATCAGAGAAGCAGCCAAGAGGCCCATGGTATCTCTGGAGGAGCTGCAGAGATCCACAGCTCAGGTGGGAAAATCTGTCCACAGGACAACTATTAGTCGTGCACAAATCTGGCCTTTATGGAAGAGTGGCAAGGAGAAAGCCATTGTTGAATGAAAGCCATAAGAAGTCCCGTCTGCAGTTTGAAAAAAGCCATGTGGGGGACACAGTAAACATGTGGAAGAAGGTGCTCTGGTCAGATGAGACTAAAATCAAAATGTTTGGCCTAAAAGCAAAACGCTATGTGTGACGGAAAAAACTGACACTGCACATCACCCTGAACACACCATCCCCACCATGAAGCATGGTTGTAGCAGCATCATGTTGTGGGGATGCTTTTCTTCAGCAGGGACAGGGAAGCTGGTCAGAGTTGATGGGAAGATGGATGGAGCCAGATACAGGGCAATCTTAAAAGAAAACCTGTTAGAGTCTGCAAAAGACTTGAGACTGGGGTGGAGATTCACCTTCCAGCAGGACAATGACCCTAAACATACAACCAGAGCTACAATGGAATGATATCAATCAAAGCATATTCATGTGTTAGAATGGCCCAGTCAAAGTCCAGACCAGGGGCAGACTGACCATTAGAGCACTCGGGCACTGCCCGAGGGCCCAGGGTCAGTAGGGGGCCCCATGAAATGCCCCGGGTACCTTTTATAGGCTTTTTTGGGTGTGCTTTGAGTGTGGTCAAGGACACGGGGGCCCCATGATCCCCTATTGCCCGGGGGCCCCATGAGTTGTCAGTCCTCCCCTGGTCCAGACATAAATCAAATTGAGAATCTGTGGCAAGGCTTGAAAATTGCTGTTCACAGACGCTCTCAATCCAATCTGACAGAGCTTGAGCTATTTTGCAATGAAGAATGGGCAAAAATTTCACTCTCTAGATGTGCAAAGCTGATAGAAAGATAACCAAAATGACTTGCAGCTGTAATTGCAGCGAAAGGTGTTGCTACAAAATATTGACTGAGGGGGGCTGAATACAAATGCACCCCACACTTTTCAGATATTTATTTGTAAAAAAATTCTGAAAACCATTTATCATTTTCCTTCCACTTCACAATTATGTGCTATTTCGTGTTGGTCTATCACATAAAATCCCAATAAAAATACATTTAGGTTTCTGGTTGTAACATGACAAAATGTGGAAAATTGGGTATGAATACTTTTTCAAGGCAATGTATATATATATATATATATATATATATATATATATATATATATATATATATTTATATATAAATAAAAGGAAGTCAGCAACTGAAGCCTATTCATTTATTTTAGTATAGATTTCCTATACTTAATGTACTGTCTGGAGGAAGGAAGGGAAAGGGGAGGCGAAATTGAAACCTTTAAAACATCAAGGAGGTGAATAAGGTTCAGGAGGGCAGTATTTTCAATGTAAAACCAAGAACAAGAGCAGGGGGATATGACCTCTAACTGGAGGAAAGTTCAAAACTAATCTTAGAAAGTATTATTTTACTGAAAGGGTAGTTGATGCTTGGAAAAGACTTCCAGGAAAGGTGATGTGTCAGTCAACAGTAAGTTGATTCAGACATGCTTGTGACAAACACAGATCAATACTGAGACAGAGAAGTTAATAAAAAAAATTAACAAAAAACAAACAAAGATATACAAAACATGGTATAAATTTTAAAAAAGGGAAGACTCGTTGGATCACTTGGTCTTTTTTCTGCCATCACTTTTCTATGTTTTTATGTTTAAAATAAATTTAATTGCTACATATGGAAGCTGTCTCCAAATTGCTGCTAACCACCAGCAAGGTTAAAGTGGTTGTAAACCCTTACATATTTCCACATTAAAGAAATCCTCCTCCATAACTTGTACCTGTCTGTCTGCAGTCTTCTCTTCTCTACATCCAATCAAAGTGCTGAATTTATAAAGCTTGTCTGAGGGTTCAGAAGAAAAAGAGTTGAAATTACATTCTGTAGAGCTCTGGGAGTTGATTGGAGGGAAGAGACACCCCCCCCCCCCCTCCACACAGCACACAGGAAAAAGTGTAGTGCTTTTATTTGAGACAAGTACACACTATAGAGGGATATGCTTTGTTCATATTTCATGTCAGGTTTACAACAACTTTAAGGGATAAAAATCTGACTGCTTGTTGTTAACAACTGTGCTTTTTTGTGTCAGTTTTTCTTCCTTCAGTTTTTATGTATTAGCCTCATAGTGCTACATACATCAACAAGATCCTATATATAAAAAACCCAGACATTCTGGACAAAGTTCTACAATAACTATAACACAGTGAAAGGAATATGGAGCATAACCAACAAGATAAAAAGAGATATTTGGGATGTTCTGAGTTCTCCCAACCATGTAGCAGAAAATTTGATTATTGAGTGTAAAATGTACAAATACAAGTTCAGATTAGACGTTCACATATACTGCACAGTCTCCATTCCGTCTATGCTCTCTTCCATAGTTGCTTTTACAGTATAATTATTATCATATGGGATTTATATAGTGCCAACAGCTGTACATTATAAATGGAAACTGTACAAGGGGATTAGGTGAGCCCTGTTCGTGGGGTGGGAGCTTTTAATCTAAAAGGGAGGGGCAGGCAGTACAAAAGGTAATGACTGTGAGGAATGAGCTGATGGGGAAGGTAGGAGGAAAGTAAGGGATAAGGGATCCCTAAAAAGTGGACAGAGAAGGGTTGGGAGCAGGGGCGGACTGACTATTTGGAAACTCGGGCACTGCCCGAGGGCCCAGGGTCAGTAGGGGGCCCCATGAGATGCCCCTGGTACCTTTTTCATAGGCTTTTTTGAGTTTGGGCAAAGACACAGGGGCCCCATGATCCCCTATTGCCCGGGGGCCCCACAGGTTGTCAGTCCGCCCCTGGTTGGGAGTTCAGGATCATAGGAGAAGATTTGGAGATATCTTGGAGATGAGCATCGGAGGAGGAGGTGGTGAGGGAGCTATAGAGCAGGAGGTCTTGGGAGGAGCAGGTGGACAGTTTTGGTGATATTTTAAGATGAGGTTGGTAAAATAGCAGTTGTGGATGACTTTGTAAGTTATTGTTCTTAGTATTAGAAATATTTTTAAAATATCAGCTTTATAGTGCTCCACAAATCAAAAAAATGCCCTTATCTAGAAAACCAAGCCAATCTGGACCAGTTTATACTATAACTATAATGTAGTACATAACATCGTAAACATGGTCTAAGGCAGCAGTGTTTGCGGATGCAGGGCTTGTAGTATACGATGTAGCATAATTGTCGCAGTTGCCTTCCTCCCTCCAAACCATGTTCTAAATCTACTTCCTTCTAGATTTCCCTTGCTACTCTCTCCCACTATTAATACCTGACCAACATTATGGACTCTTCATCCTCTCTATAGATAGCAGTATTTAACTATGGGGTTAATTGGACACATGTTAAGTACATATGTAATCATTTGTGTTTGTTCCACAAAATAAGTCTGTTCACAAACACCAATAATCATACTTGTAGAACCCTATTTCTTATAAATGTTTCTTTGTTGTACAGGATATATTCATGGACCTACTTTGAAGCTGGTATGGTTATGGATTTTATAATTATCGGCAAATATGGACTTGTAATGGGATTCCTTTAGTTATACTTACAGCACTCTATAGGTATAGAAGCCGCTTGTAGAGAGACACCTTTCCCACCGCCCTGTGGAATGTGCACACGAAACACAAGTCGAACACGTGTGTTCTTTCGGCCAATGTCTGTCTCGCCCTTCCGGAGCTCAATGTCTGAATTTCGAAGCTTTAAAATTCCAGCGCAGTCTATACTGAAACATAGACATTTTGATCAGACATTTACTGCATCACTTCAAGACACAAATTTATAGAAGTATCTGAAAAAAGTTGATTTAAAAACATTTCTAATCCTCTCAGCAACCACTCATGTTATTTATTGGTTGCTTTATGTATCACAAGCAGTTCCTCTAGCTCAGGAGTGTCAAACTGGTGGCCCTACAGCAGCTGCAAAACTACAAGTCCCATCATGCCTCTACCTTTGGGAGTCATGCTTGTAACTGTCAATCTTGCAATGCCTCTTGGGACTTGTAGTTTGGCAACAGCTGCAGGGCCGCCAGTTTGACACCTGTGCTCTAGCTGATATTGTCATACATGTGTGGTCATTATGGTCATGACTGCAGAGAAGCATAGGCATAAGAATCTACACATTTGTAGTCCTCAAAATTGCTGTATTGGCTTTCCCCAACAAATTACAACACTAATCTGAGCACTGGAAGAACAAGGTCACAGCTTTATTGGTAAAACTGCAACTTTTATTGCAGTATACAAGCAAGCCAACAATGCTACAACGATTATAGTATATCTAAAACCAAAACTTTAATTTTCATTTTTGAGTAGGAAAGGGTTAAAATCCTGTCTGTTTTTTTTCTGAGTCCCATTCTAGAGATTTTCTATCACTTCCTGTCCTGCAGACAGTAGGAGGAAATCTCTACAAACTGATGTTTGTCTCTTCTTAGGCAGTTGTCACTAGAAGTGTCTCTAATGGAAGATTTCCCCTCTATTCCTGTTCTGGTAGCAACTCCAAATTTTGGATTTTCCTTTATTTTTAGTCCCAGTGACAGTAGTTACCAGGACAAATAAAGAGGGTGAATTTCCTTAACGGGGATACATAAAAAAAATAAACATGGGTGTTCTAACCGCTCACTGCTCTATCCAAAACTAAAGAAAAACCTTTAGATGCACTTTAAAAGGAACTCTGTGTCCGATGAACTGTGAGCTCCAAATTATGAGCAATTAAGTGCCTGTCTAAGGCAGGCCATAGATGATGTGATTTTCTTTCCTGCAAGCTGTGGTTGCAGGAAAGAAAATCTCTTGATTCCCCCATCAACACTGACTCGGAGAGGAGACATATCTGCATGTAGTTTGCAACAAGCTAAGCTAACTTTCAGAGGGGCTGCGAGTCCCTTGCCCATAAGGGGCTGTTGCTATCGATCCGCAAAGACTGATCGCTTTCACGGAAAAGAACAGTCTAGGATCTGTGTCTGTAAATAGGAAGGAAGTTGTCCCCATGCATTGATTCAGTCAAGTTAGGCATCCCATAATCCCTATGGCCCTATCCAAGTTATTTTTCCCCTAATAAAATAACAAAAACCAAGTTCAAGGACTATTTGCTGACTGTGGATCCAAGTGTGGAAAATGCATGTTGCCTAGCTGTGTGGAGCTTAGGGGGACATAGTAGCCATCAAGAGGATAGCACTACACATAGTTATGCTAGTCCAGCTTGGACAAATGTAACTATGCAAATACCATACCTGCCTGATGCCCCTGGAAGGTGAAGTAGACAGGGCCACTCCAGTGATCTTCACTTGCTTATAGGTACCACAATGTGCAGCTGCCCAGCTGCATTCTGAAGACAGAAGTTTAGCTGCACTGCATGGTGCCATTCAGAATAAATGCAAAGTCCTCTGTGATTGGACAAGATGGAGAGGTGGAATGGTGATGTCACACTCTCCACTTCATCCAATCAGGGAAGGCTTTGCACTCATTCAGAGAATGCAAAGCATTCTTGAAATAGCGATGTAATGAATGGCTAACCTCTTGTCTTCAGAATGCAGCAGGGCAGCCACTTTGCACAGGACTTGGAAGCAAGTGAAGATCACTGGAGTAGCAATATCTACTTCACTGATTTCCAGCTTACAGGGACATTGACCAGGTATGGTATATACTGTACATAGTTACACTGGTCCAAGCTGGATCAGTGTTACTATGTATAACATATCTATACCTAGAAAACTTCTTTAAACTCTGGAAAGGTAAAATTCTCCATTAAAGTTGGGAAGGCAAGCGAGACAGTGAAATATCTAGTGGCTAGTGCAGCTTCAGTATAGTATCCCCTACCCCTTAGTGAAATATAGCTGCAATCCCCATCTGAACAGGGAGCACAGCCATTATTACACATTAAAGTGATATTAAAGGCAATTAAAAAAAAACAACAACAACAACAAAACATGTCACACTTACCTGCTCTGAGAAATGGTTTTGCACTGAACAGCCCCAATCCTCCTCTTCTTGGGTCCCCCGCTGGCGCTCCTGGCCCCTTCTTCCTGCCAACAGCCCCCAGAGCATGCAGCTTACTATGTGGGCACCAAAACAGGCTCACTCCGAAGCTGCTACTCGGTGTGTCCATTCACACACACAGTTCCCACCCCCCTCTCTCCTCATTGGCTCACTGGCTGTGATTCAGTGATGGGAGCCAATGGCTGTGTCAACCAATAAGGAGTTCCCAGAGAGCTGAGGCTCATGTGCACAGATGCTCTCGTACACATCACTGAATCATGATAGGGATCAGGTAAGTATTAGGGGGGTGGGGGCTGCACACAGAAAGTTTTTTTTACCTTCATATATAAAAAAAACCTTGAGCCTTTACAACCACTTAAATTATGCAGTGCATTATTGTTGCATAATTACTCAAATGAGAACAGGTGTGAGGGGTCCATTTTAGGTAGGACCACCCATCACCTTGCCTTGCTTCCAGTAGTTCTCCATGGATCAAGGAACCATCATTAGGGTTATTCAACCAATAGATGTGTTTTACAAATGCAGTTTCTATTGTATGTTGCCATGCATCTTACTTGGCACACATGTTGTTTTCAGGCAGAAGAGACATCTCCAGAACTTTGGTGCTTGCTACAAGAGCTTCATAGCTGGGTGTAGCCACCATTTTTCCTGTTATGCGATGAACTTGGTAAAAGGCGTGAGGTCTCAGGTTACGCTCATCTGCTGTTCCGATAAACATCTGGAGGGTCAGTGGCTTCTCATTGTATCCTACCAGCTGCAGAGGACCAAATAGGACAACATAAATTTCCATGTGTAGGCAAAATTAATAACTATAGCATCTTAAAGTACCTTAAACATATCCCTTTGGTAGCTTATATTTCCTGTAAAATTTGAATTTTAGAGGCACAGATGTTAATTTCTGCTTAGTTTCCTAACTGCTGCGCAAAGTGGAAATACAACCCTGTTTTCTTGAGAGATTTCATATGTAGACCAAAAAAAAAGCAAGAACTTGGTCATCTCATAAAAAAGTGGTAGAAAAGATCCCATCAGCTAATCTTTCCTAGTGGTTAGCATTGATGTCTTAGAGAAGTGGAGCTTTGTGATTGATTCCAACCAGGCTGCTGTCTGTGTGGACTTTGTATATGTTCCATGTGTTCATGTGGGTTTCCTCTGGGTGCTTTGGTTTCCTCCAACTATCCAAAACATGCCAGTAGGTTATTGGGCTTCTCACCAAATTGGCCTTAAAGTGTGTGTTTTTCTGTCTGTGGCAGGAAAATTGGATGGCAAACTCCACTGAGATGGAGGCAGATGTGAATAAACATTCTCAAGTTTTGTTTTCAGCGTTGCATAATAGTAGTGCAATAAAACGTTATTAAAGCAGAACTCTAGACAAAAAAAGTATAAAGTGGAAATATCTGTCAGAAGATGTCAAATTAGAAAATGTGATGTCATTTGCTTGGCTATGCATTATGGCAGGGGTGTGTGAAAATCAAAGATTTACAGATCATATATAAAAGTTCACCCATACAGTATGTATTTTAATTGTGTCTTCTACTGTCTGCCAAACTGATCTTAAGCAAGGAGCTGAATGTGTATTCTTAAAACTGAACTCCAGCCTTACCTCCAGTCTTCCACACTTTCACAGACTCCTCTCCTGTACTGAAAGTGCTTACTTCAATTTCACTGCACACCAGGGGCGGACTGACCATTTGGGAATTCGGGCAGTGCCCGAGGGCCCAGGGTCAGTAGGGGGCCCCATGAGATGCCCCTGGTGCCTTTCATAGGCTTTTTTGGGTGTTGTTTGAGTGTGGACGAGGACGCAGGGGCCCCATGATCCCCTATTGCCCGAGGGCCCCATGAGTTGTCAGTCCGCCCCTGCTGCACACTTCAAACTTCTCACATTGTGCATTAAAAGCTGCAGCAAGTCAGATAGAGCCTGCCTTAATTCCTGATTGGAAGATATTCAGCATCATCCAGCTCTTTCCTCCCAAGGTTTTCTGTCCGTGACCTACCCCTTTCAGTCATTGTATTTCATTTTTCTCAGTTTTGGATACTCAGCATCACAAATGGAGCCCTCTGATGTGTCATGCAACCTCAAACCAGGGAAATTGGGGATTTGGGGAGCGGTAAAAACCCTATTATTCATTGTGGCTTGTGATCAGTTTCGAAATCACGTAAGTGGCCCTCTTCAAAAGTTTAGGTAAGGCCCCTTTCAGACGGGGCGGATTCCGTCAAGCCTATCCACCTGCTCAGCGGGGGATCTCTCTGCTGATCCCTGGTGAGCAGGCAGATGACAGGTCATCGGATGACACCCGCCACTCCATAGACAGCTATGTATGGTTTGATCAGGTCGGTCTGAAAAACTGACAGGTGGACCCAATCGGACCATCAGTGTGAAAGAGGCCTAACCCTGGTAGGGCAATCTCAATGCAAATACGGTCTGCCTAGAAACACCTACCCCTCCAGACCAACATCCACCCATCAACACATTTTAATATTTGCAAGCCCACTGCTTGCATCAGGGTGGAAGGTTTTTGAAAGGAGTACTAAGGCAAGGTGCTCTGATGCTGTGATGCTTCCAGAAAGCTATGTACAGCACCTTGCCAGCCACCCACCAGCCACAATCTGCCTGCATTACATACAGAAGCACAGAGACCCAGGAATAAAGGGCTTATATTTGACCACCTACTTAAAATATAACTAAAGGCAAAACTTTTTTCATCTTGGATCTAGTGGAGAGGTCAGATTTTTATAGCAGTCTGTGACCCTAGAGAGAGGGAGCTCTCTCTTTGTCCTGTTTACCTTTATCTCTGAATATGAAAGACAATCTCAAATTTTGAACAGGAATGGGGAAATCTTCCAAAGGGCACATTGGCTACAACCAGTAATTTCCTCACTTTGGATGATTTTTTCTCTCACTTCCGGTTTTGGCCATGAGACAGGAAGTGAAGGGAAATTTCCCCAATGGGACACTGAGGACAGAAAAATCTAACAGGGATTTTAATTTTTCCGTACTTTATCCAAAATAAAAAAAAAAGTTTTGGTTCTACTTTAGGGGGGTCTATTTATCTAATATTCATTCAATGTTAGAAGCATTCATGCAAGCTGAACGCAATATTTCCGTAATTTTTATAAGAGATGAATTCCTGTATCGTCAGTCCCATCTAGTGGCCAAAATGTAGTATAGTTTTCTGAGATACCGCAATGAGAAATCTATACTACATTTTTCCTACTAGATGGAGCTGACGATACAGGCATTAATCTCTTACAAAATGCGGGCATTTTGTTCAACTTGCATGAATGCTTATGACATTCGTGACATTCGTGCAACAAATGTTTTATACATGTTTTATAAATAGACCCCTAAGAGTCAGAGCTAAAAGGCCTCCTGAGGAATGCATTGCTAACCTGCCAAGCTTGTGCTGAAAACCCAATGTCTTTCAGCTCTTCAGTATGTACATGATAAAAGTGTTACCCTCAACAAGATAAGCAGAGCTAAATAGGAGGAAATGCAAATATTTCTTTTTTTATTTATTATTATCAATTTGCGCAGAGCTTTACATAACAATGGTGCATTCACATCATCAGTCCCTAACCCTCAAGGGGCGTACAATCTAAGGATTTAGACAGGAGCCAATTAACCTACCAGCATGTCTTTGGAGTGTGGGAGGAAACTGGGGTACATGGAGGAAACCCACGCAGGCACAGGGAGAACATGCAAACTATCTTTTTTTAGGTAAGGCTCTAATGATAAAAAACAAGTGCACCTTTCATTGAAAAGTATTTTTTTCTAATTCACCGATTGACATCAGCAAGCACATAGGTTAAAGTGAACCTCTGTGTTACCGTGGCAGAGCAAAGCAACAGGTTTACTTTAATGCCAGCTCCCACAGCTGCTTATTTTTACCTCCCTTTTACTCCTCTGCTGGTCTATTCTTTTGAAAGTGTAATCTTCAAGTTCTGATTTGGGCAGAGGACTCTCTCCAACCTTTTTTTGACAGCACTGGGGCTTGAGCTGCAAATCACTAATGGCCGGCACTGTCATGGGAGGATAGGCTGCAAGTCAGATGTCCCTCCATATTACAATGTACCAGGTATGTCACTTCTCTTTTTTGGATGAATAGAACAAAGGGTAGGCAAGTGTAAGTAGCTGCATTCAGCAGCATTAGGGTTCGTTCACACTTGACTTTATTTCTAACTCTTGCCAAACGCCCATATAGCTTTGACAGCGTTAAACAGGCGTTTGGGAAGCATTTTTAAAGCTCCCCCAAACGCCCTATGCGCGGTTTTGACGTTTGGCAAACGTTAAAACAGCACCACAAATTGCCTATAATGAAGTTAATCGTATTAATGCTCCGCAAACCGCCTTGCAATCGCATTGCAAACGCCTGCCAGGTGTTTGAGGAGTGGCACCATAGACTTACATGGGAGGCTTCAACTCCTCCTGACTCCACAAGAGGCATTAGTTTTGCCAGGACGATATCGCTTCAGTGTGAACAGCACTGTGTGCTGCCATGTGCAGAATTTTCATAGGCATTTGAGAAGCGTTAAAAACGCTTCCCAAATGCCTGTTTGACGCCTGCTGACAAACTAGTGTGAACTGAGCCTTAAAACAGATGGAGACAGTCAAGAAGCAAGCATTTTCCAAAGTAGTTTAGTAATGGTGGCCTTCATAATTCTCTCAGTACAGACTACTTTTACATTTATGCTGTATTCTTCGCTCCTCACAAGACCTCCTACTCTCTAGCTCCCTGGTCTCCTCCTCCAATGCCCGACTCCAGGACTTCTCCAGGGCTTCCCCCATCCTCTAGAACTCACTACCCCAATCCATCAGACTGTCACCTACCCTCCTCACCTTTAGGCACACCCTGAAAACCCATCTCTTCAGGGAAGCCTACCCCGCCCTCACCTAACTGCTGATCTCCTCCACTCATCCTACCACTCCATTGCCCACAGCCATTTCCTCCTGTACCACTATCCTATCCCTCCTAGATTGTAAGCTCCAAGGAGCAGGGCCCTCGAACCCCTCGTGTATTGTTTTGTTACTTTATTGTCTCATGTACTGTCCCCCACTCTAATGTACAGCACTGAGCAAACTTTTTGGCGCTATATAAATACTGTATAATAATAATAATAATAATAATTTCATTGACTTGGTATTTAATGAATTGGATGGCAGAATTGCACAAGGCTGCATAGAATCTGATAAGATCTGTCCAGAGGGCTCAACACTTCTCTGTGCCTGGATACTATAAGTAACTCTTATGTATAGTAGAGTCTTTTGTATTACACTGTAATATTTGGACACTGATGTCAACTTACAGATATTTTGATGATGGCACATTCCATAAATAGGCAGCTTATGATTTACAAAAAGAGTCATATTAGATTCTGGTTTCTTTTCAGTTTCAGGCAAATGTTCTGTATTTTAAAAGTTTCTTTAACCCGATTGGGAATTTGAAGTAAATGCAGACTAGGGTGAAATGACTCTTTTAGTAAACCCTCGTGATATGTACAGATACAGGAAGACAGAACATCAGTGAGAGATCCTTTAGCCTAAGGAAGACAGCCAGCGTGGGAAAGCTGAGAAGACAGGAAAACAGCTGGGAAACATCTAGTCATTCAATGAGCTGAACAGAGCTACAGCCTGTCCCCTAACCACAGTACTAGCTGGGCCTTCTGGATATGTGACACGAGTTTACTTCTATGGTTTTACCATACTGCAAACTATTCGCAGTTACTGAAAGGGAATATATCATTTTTGTGTATATTTTCATTATCTTTATCACCAGAACTAGAAAGTATATTTTTATTTTGTGTTTATGTTTTTTTAATCAGGCAAATATAAAATATTCCATTTGAATTTTGTGTGATCCATTCTCCAGCGATTGGTTGGAGATTTAGGATCTTTTCACATGTTTTTCTGGGTCTCCTTTTTTGTAAGAAGCCTGCTATTTACAGAGCTCAGTAGCTCAAGCTACAATGCATACACACAAGTGGTTCTTCTTCATGCTCAGGTACCAGGTAAGAAGTTGGTAGAATTGTTAGCCAGTGGGGATTTATCTGCCTCCATAGACATGAGACTTAGAAACATGAGACCCAGGTTCATTTGGCTTCATTTTTCCACTCTAAAATCACTGCTGCATTCTGTGGGGATGAAACCACATGGCGCATGGCAGGCGACACAGGCTGCCAGCACTTCTGGAAGACCCTGATAGAGGTTTCAGTGCTGGAACAGGTAGGAGGCTCGGGCCAGTGGAAAGGTCTGTATACAATCTCTTCTATTGCAGGAAAAAAAGCCTATGAAAAAGATACCAGGGGCATCTCATGGGGACCCCTACTGACCCCGGGCCCTCGGGCAGTGCCCGAGTTTCCAAATGGTCAGTCCGCCCCTGACACTGTATTAAAGTGTTGCTAAACCCACAACAGTAAAATCAGCCTGTATATACAGTAAAGCATGCTTGGCATACTCACTGTGGAACCTAAGGGGTTAATCTTCCGCTTTGTGTAAAAAGGCTGTTTGATTGGGGACAGTAGAATCCTCCCCTTCTCAGAGAAGACCAGGATCAATCTGCTGATAGTAAAGAGCTCTAGGAGTCACTCTGCACATGCTCAGTTTTGTGTATATGGCTGGAGAGGTTTTTTTTCTTTGAGATGGTGCATGTGATCAGCACAGGGAAAATCAGCACTGTCCAGACAGAGGGTCAGGGGTTATGCAACCAGTCAGAGCAGAATGAAAACTTCTCCTATAAGCTTTTACCAGTGCTCAGCTGGACACTGATAGAAGTCACAAGACTGCTATATACTGCTGATGAGAAAAGGTATTTAGCAATTTATATTTACTAAAATAATTGTTTTTCCATGTTCTGTGTACTGTGGGAGACCAGATATAGTGAATGCAGGGTTCTGGGTTTAGTAACACTTTAAATAAATGTAATATTTTTTTCTATTAGGCATCAAGCAGTATGGATTGTATTTCTTTTATTTAATTTTTTTCATCTTCTGGATTACTTGATAGGTAAAGTATTGTTTGGATGAATGCTGTTTGCAAAATATCATTGCTGTTTGTTTTTTTTACTTAAATACTGTTAGTCCAACACCGTCCTGAATTTGAAATTGCATTTTACACTTATTTTCTTTTATTTTGATGCATTGTGCCTGTTTTATCTGTCTCATTCTTTAGTGTCTATTCTACAATATGCACTCCAAATGAGGAAGATTGGAGGAAATGGTTTCAATATTTCATGTGCCATCAAGCATGACACAGCACTATTACACAACATATAGTAAACGCATTCTTTCAAAAGCACAGACTTTTAAAGTTCTCATAGCTTTGCATAATATGAATACGCAGACATATTCCTGACAATGTATGCAATTAAAAGACAGCTTTATTATTTATATATTCAATCAAAGTTAAAAGAAATAGTAAATAGCTTGTATTATGTAGCTCTTACCTTGACAACCGGATGCCCCCCTGGTGAAGCTTTCACTGCCCCTCTGCTCCCTTCTGTTTCATAATGGGCTCGGTGATGGGTTCTTGGTTGTACTTCTATTCTCAATTCCAAACCTTCAAATTGGCTGGGCAGTGGCCAGTCCAGAGGTGGAAGAGAGGATGACCTGAATAAAAAACATGATCATGCACTGGTATTTATATGCCATGAAATTAAAAAGTTCAAACGCTATGCATATAAAGGAGTGCCAACAATTTACTCCACATCCAATACAGGATACAAATATTGTTGAAGATAATGGAACGTTGTTGAAAGGAGTGGCAACCCCTAAAGTGTATGTGTAGGCATTTTTTCTTTATTTGTTTTGGATAGAATGGGACAGGGTTAACCACTTGCCTTCCTGAGGATTTACCCCCCTTCCTGACCAGGCCATTTTTTGTGTTACGGCACTGCGTTATTTTAACTGACAATTGCGTGGTCATGCAACGCTGCACCCAAATGAAATTGACATCCTTTTTTCACACAAATAGAGCTTTCTTTTAGTGGTATTTGATCTCCTGTGCGTTTTTAATTTTTTGTACTATAAAAAAAAAAAGACCAACAATTTTGAGAAAAAAAACAATATTTTTTACTTTTTGCTATTAAAAATGTCCAGTGAAAACATTTTAAAAATCAAATTTCGTCATAAATTTAGGCCAAAATGTATTCTGCCCCATGTCTTTCCTAAAAAAAAATCCCAATACATGTATATTAATTGTTTTAAGTGAAATTTATAGCATTTACAAGTGGCGGCAAACATAGTGAGATTTTTATTTTTTACTAGTAATGACAGCGATCAGCGACTTATAGCGGGACTGCGGGGACTATGGCAGGCATTCTGACACTGGGGGGAACTGACATCCCTAGTGACACCAATACAGTGATCAGTGCTAATAAAAAGCAATGACACTGTACTAATGGCACTGGGCAGGAAGGGGTTAACATCTGGGGTGATCAAAGTGGTAACTGTGTGCTGTTTTACACTGTGTGGCTATGTTTGTGCTTCACTGTAAGCACACTGCTTTGCATGGCTGTGTTCTGCGCAGCCATGCAAAGCAGTGTGCAGGCGCTGACAGGGGAGAGAACTGTTTTGTTTACAAACAGTTCTCTCTCCCATCGTAGATGCTCGGTAATCACCGAGCGCCGACGAGTAATCACCAGCCGGGATCCTGTGATTGAGAGCCACGGTCACGAATAGCAGCGCAGGTAGGGCAGTACTTTTGCTATAGGGTGGATGGGAAGCGGTTAAAACCCCTGTCACAATAATTTTTTGCTGTCTAAGTTGGCCATATATGGATCGAATCTCGGCCGGTTTCTGCTGAACAGGCCGAAATTCAGTCCATCTATGGGCAGGCTAGTTGTACTGAAGTCGATCCATCGATCGACTTGGGTACAACCGGCCTGTCAGATGTTTTTATATGCTATTACTATAGGTGGCAGGAGGGATTCCCACATCAACACTGATCATGTTGATGTGGAAATTGAGCAATTTTCTTTCCTGTAAATCTTGGTTGTAGGGAAGAAAATCGAATCATCTATGGCTTGAGTCCCATGTATGCATTTTGCATTTGATGCTTTCTCCGGAGCTTTTTGCAGTTTGTTTTGTGTTTTTTTACATGCGTTTTTACCATGTTTTGCATTTTGTTCAGCTCTTTTTTGTTAAAGTGGAATTGTTTTTGTTGCTGGGCAGAATAAAAACGCGGCAAAACCGCACTACCATGCATTTCAGCAGCTTCTTCATTGAACTCCATTGTAGCAAAAATGCTCTTTGCTTTTAAAAAAGTCCCTGACCAAAAACGAAGCAGCTCACAGAAGCATAGATGTGACATTGTTCCATAGGAAACCATGTTAAATGGACTGTAGTAAGTTTCTGCAAAAAGCACTAAAAACTGCATTGTTATGAACTGAGCCTAGGTCTTGTTGCAGACATTTTCCCTCACATTCTGTTCTGGAGATGCAACTTGCAGTGAGAGGTTAGTTCTTCAAAAGTTATGGAAACAAAACCCTCTTAGACAGTTGTCACCAGAAAAGGTTTTTACATTGAAGATGTCCCCACACTGCTAGTTCTGGTGACAAATCTGGAGTCAGTGGTCACAATGACAAATAGGTCGAATCCCCCCCAGCGGGGACAGAAACTCTACCCAAAAATGTTTTAGTTATACATGTACTTTAACCATTTCAAAACCAGGCCAATTCTGACATTTTTCACATACGTGCTAAAAGTTTATATTTTTGCTAGAAAATTACTCCGAACCAGGGGGGAACTGACCATTTGGGAACTCGGGCACTGCCCGAGGGCCTGGGGTCAGTAGGGGGCCCCATGAGATGCTCCTGGTACCTTTCATAGGCTTTTTTGGGTGTGGTTTGAGTGTGGGTGAGGACACAGAGGCCCCATGATCCCCTATTGCCCGGGGGCCCCATGAGTTGTCAGTCCGCCCCTGCTCAGAACCACCATACATTTTATATTTTTGAAAAAAGAGACACATAAAATGGTTGTTGATGCAATTTTTTATGTTGCACGATATTTGTGCAGTCATTAGTAATATTGTTTTTTAGTAGTGTTTTTGTAGCGTTTCAGAAGCGTTTAGGAGCTGGAAAAACGCTCCAAAAAACTCTACAAAAACAATTTTTTTTACCTGCTCCTAAATGCTGTAGTGCGCATGGACACATAGGATAACACTATTTAGCTTCTAGGAGCAGAAAAAAAATGCTAATAACAGCTTCTATGGGCTTAAAAAAAACGCTAATGTACATGGAGCCTAACTGGCAATTGGGTGGTCATGCAACACTGTACCCAAATTACATTTATTTCATTTTTTTCACACAAATAGTGTTTCTTTTGGTGGTAATTGGTCACCACTGGGTTTTTTACTTTTTATTAGATAAAGAAAAAAAGGCCAAAAATTAACACAAAAAAAACCCAATATTTTTTGCTATAAAACATATTCAATAAAAAATATCAAATCTCTTCATACATTTAGGCCAAAATGTATTCTGCTACATGTCTATGGAAAATAAAATCAGAATAAGTGTTTATTAATTGGTTTGCTTGAAATTTATAGCATCTACAAACGATAGTCTATATACTGGAATTTTTTTTTTTTTTGTTTTTATACCAGTAATGGCGGCGATCAGCAACTTATAGTGGGACATATAGGGGTTTATTTACTAAAGCTGGAGAGTCCAAAATCAGACTCCCTTCTGCATAGAAACCAATCAGCTTCTAACCTCAGCTTGTTCAATGAATTTGGCAATGAAACCTGGAAGCTGATTGGTTTCTATGCAGAAGTGAGTCTGATTTTGTACTCTCCACTTTAGTAAATAAACCCCCATAGTGACACTAATTGACACTTTGTGGAAACTGACTAACCACTGCCACTGACATCTGCCATGACACTAATACAATGACTAGCGCTAATAATATAATAAAAGATATACACTATATCACGCTAGGGTCTGTTCAAGTTCAGTAGGTTAAACCCCACACAAGCGGCTAGCACAATGTTGCAGGTTACAATACATAAACATATAAACATAGAGGGTGCAGTGCTAAAGCAAATTAAAAAAAAAAGATTTTTCCATGTAACAAAAGTCCAATCCAAAGTTTTTATATAAGGAATAAAAAGTCCATCAGCCAAGACCCAACAGATATCCAATAGGTGCCCAGGAAACCACCAAAGGGAGAAATCCTTCACCAACACCAACCACACTATCTCTTACCACATGGTATTGACCCCCAAAGGAAAGGTCAATAAGCACTGTGTGCTTCCTGCAAGTGACCACTGGACTGAATGTATTCCTTAAGGATCCTGATCTTCAATATGAAGCGTACAAAAGATACACCTAATAGTATACACCGTCACTATACTAATGACACTGACTGGGAAGGGGCTAACATACAGGGGCAATCAAGGGGTGGGGCTATTTACTACAAATTGATTTGTTTCTTTTCCCTGCTTTACAGGGAAAAGAAATTAAGTAATTGTTTCCTCTCTTCAGAGTCCTGTGTTGTTTGTCAACACAGGGCTCTGGACTGTTATTCGCCGATCAGCAGGTCCCTGCCATGAATCATTGGCTAGGATCTGCTTACAAACTCCTGCTGTGTCAAATCACAGGGGAGTAAGTAGGTGGAGGTGTGCGCACGCCCGTGTGCCCACCCAAAATCTGGAAACAGGCAGCAATGTACAGGTACTTTGCTGTACCTGTAACAGCCACCCCGCCACAGTAAATGTATTGTGGTGGGTGAGCATGTGGTTAAAATGCTAATTTTTTGGAAAAATACACTTTAATGTAGGGATGCACTGATACCATTTTTTGATTAGTGAGTACGAATACCAATACTTTCGGTCAAGTACTCGCAGGTACAATACAAAATATATGGATGCAAATTGCACCACAAAGAATAGCATGCGATTTGTACAGGAATCGTATGTGGTTTCCCCACTGCTCCTGTGTGAATCCAGGCTTGTCATAGCCTGAGTTCACACAGGAGAGAGGTGATGGAAACCTCCCTGCACCGATACCATGCTAAGGGGAGAGTGGGAGAGAATGGTGTGCTTTCTCCCACTGCTGCACCATACTGAACTCTGCTCACACGTGTATTGCAGAGAGTGCATGTGTGGGCAAGCTCGGTTGCATATTAAATTTAGATTTTTTTTTACCACACATACATTTTAACCTCCCTGGCGGTATTCCTGAGTGTAGCTCGGGGTAAAGTTTCCGTACCAAGAGCGGTAACCCCAAGATACACTCGGGCTTACCATGCGGCGTTGCTCAGGGATTCCCTGCAGCGCTTACCTTGTCCTTCGCTCCCGCGATGTGTCCCCTGCAGCGTCCCCGGCCATCTCCTCCGCCCGATGCCGGCATCCGGCTCCCGTGTTCCGGTCCCTGCGAGCGTCGGGACGTACGGGGGCCGGAACCGGCGGCACATTTAAAAATTTTAGAAACTGTCATTTTCTAATAAACAAAAATGACATAGTAAAACATTACTGTTTCAAACCATTTCACATACATTTTGTCCCTACTGCTTTGTCCTGTGCCCTGCCTGCATTTTTACTGTTCTTTCTGCCTGGAAACATAGAAAAGTCCATGGCGTCCAAAAAGGGTCACTTTAGGTCAAAAGCGGTT